TCATCTAGGTCACCTCTAAATATACAAATAATTTATTCCAGTGGGTTATTTGTAATCAAACTTCATTTAGAACTCAATATAAATTTTTCCAATTTTTTAAACCAATACATGTATTTAGCATTTTTAAATAAATATCTCTATAATATCCTAACCTTGGACTCCTAGGAGCAGTGGTCTATACATACAACAGCAATTTGAAATATTTCCATCAGTCCCTGTTTCTTTTCAATTGTTCTTTATACATGGATATTGTGGTTCACAAGAGTAGTTTATGAGTTTATCTCATAATTTTCTTTTCTTTTCTTTTTTTTTTGGTCGGTCGTGGGGCTTGAACTCTGGGCCTGGGCGCTGTCCCTCAGCTCTTCAGCTCAAGGCGAGCACTCTACCACTTGAGCTACAGTGCCACTTCCGGTTTTTTCTGGTGGTTATTGGAGATAGGAGTCTCACAGTCTTTCCTGCCCGGGCTGGCTTTGAACCATGATCCTCAGATCTCAGCCTCCTGAGTAGCTAGGATTACAGGCGTGAGCCACCAGCGCCCGGCACTATCCCATAATTTTCTATAAAACAACTTTAGTTAACATGTTTACATGTCATTGATTTTCTCCTAATGTATATATTTGAGGCAGGAAGCCAGAAGCCAGTCATGATATCAGTATTTTATTATCTTTCAAAGATGGTACCTATCTGAGAAATATCCAATTATGTTATAAATGAAGATGTTAATCAAATGTGCATAGTAGGGAGTTAACACTTCTAAGGGACTTATTGGTGTTAGTTTCAGAAAACAGAATTTTCTCAGTTTTAGCTGGCCTAGTTATCCTCTTACTATAATTTAGAAAAGTTAGAATCATTATTAAGTATCTAAGAGAGAAGATGTAAAGGAGTTAGGATCTCTAAAATATTTCTTTGGTTTTTGCAGCTTTTAGCTGCTTCCATTTCTATTTGAATATTTCTTTTAGTAGATTTAGTGACTTCAGTCATGACCAACAAAAACTGGGGGAATTTTGTACTGATTTGAGTAATAATTAGGGTTACTGAAGTTGCCAGTTATTAGCTTAAGAATTAAAACTGCAAATTAAGTGGATATAGTATATTATTACACTGTCCTCCTGCTCTCTCACCAATGTACTGAGGAAGTTGATTGTAAATTAAACAACTCTGTAGTATCACTATACTCTGAGCTGTCTAATTTTATTAGCCTCCTATAACTTCCTTTCATAGCCAAATCCTGAACTTGAACCTCTCTTGTAGAGGATAGTTTGATTTGATATATAAAAAAACAAAACAAAACATTTCCTCTGCCTTCTTCCAGAAAACAATTCACCTTCTATAAATTATACTTGCTTTCTCCTTTCAATCATATGTTTGACACTGAAGGATTTTTTACTTCCTTTTATGTTTCAGAGTCCAGCGGTGAGGACCTTACATAGACTGATTAATCATAGTGTCTATCTTTCCCACTTACCCCCATCAAAGTTGATTGATTCATGAATGGATACAGAAAACCAAGCTCACTAATTCTGGACCTGTTGTGCAGACTGCAAAGCCCAGAGTGCCTTTTCTAGGTAGGAGTAGTTTTTTGACATTGGACTCATCAGTATATCTCAACCCCCACTCCTCCAGTCACGTTTTTCCTTTGATTTGGAGAAGGGAATCTTTAGGTTTTCGTGATTGAAGGTGTGAGCCATAAGGAAGAGCACATGTGAAGCAAGACTTGACTTCCTATGAATTCCTAGTAGCATTTTTCTTCCTTTTTGGGTATTGGAACTACACTGTAGCAAGTCAAGACTACCTGGAAAAGGACTAGTAGGAGACCGGGTCCAACAGTTAATATATTATGCACTTTCTACTTCCAGATGGAGAGAGGTATATAGAGAATTCATTGGGTACCTGTTTGGTCATGGTGCTATGGTTTTCTTTTTTTGTGGGAGTTTGGGGCTTGAGCTTGGGAATTGAGCTCAAGCTCTCACGCTTAGTAAACTAAGCAGATATTCTACCACTTGAGCCATTCCTCTACTTTTTACTTTTTTTTTTTTTAAGTAAAGTCTCACTCTATGTGTAGGCCAGCCTGGGCTGCAGTCTTTCTACTTGTGCTTCTGCATGTCACTGGGAATCACAGGTATGTGCTACCATGGCCCGTCATTGGCTGAGTTGGAGTCTTGTAAACTTTTGTTCATGCTGGTCTCAAGACACAATCTCTCAATTTCCACCTCAAGTAGCTAGCATTACAGGCGTGAGCCACCATGCCTGGTGTGTGGTACTTGCCTAATTCATTAGGAGACACTAAGTCATATCGGCCTTACAAATTATTTCTACTCCTCTCCTTTTTGTCTAAGGATAAGATCACATGCCTTTTCAAAGTCTGTCAGCTGAGAAGCCTAGATAGTATGTGCCCAAGTTGAAGTGCTTGCAGATGCAATTACTTGAGCATGATTTGTCCCCTCTGAAACTGTTGAAATGTGATTGCCCTTGTGATGTGAGGAAATGGGGTCTTTAAGAGGTTATTGGGTAGTTAAACAGGATTATTGGCTTTCTTGGAAGAATAGGGTTTATAAAGCAAGGCTCTCCTTAGTTTTTGTCTTTTCTGCATGCTTCCACTTGTTTTTCTTCTTCTCTACCATGTTGTGTCATAGCAATAGGCCCTTGCCAGATTCAGCTGCTTATTCTTGACCTTCCAGCCTCTAGACTCAGGTAACCTAACTTTTATAAATAACTCAATCTCAGAGATTCCATTATAACAATTGAAAATGAGCTAAGACAGCAATAGCAGGTCCAAATACGATTGTAAGTCACTTCCACATGACAGATTTTGGAAATACTAGAGAAGAGATGTTATTTCATGTTCTCAAAAAGGTTTTCTTACATGCAATTCTCCCAGCAAGGGTATTTGTTGATGGTTTTACCAGAGTATAAAAAAGAGCTATTCAGCCTTTTAGCAAATTGGCACCTAAAGCCACAATTGCACCCTGTAAATTCCAGTAATAGAGTTTCAATGTCATATTTCAATATTTATTATTTGGGCAATTCTCTCTACTTAGAGACTCACTCTTTTACAGTTGAGTACCCAAACAGTATCTTCTAAAACAGAATAGGAAGTTTGATCTTTTGCCTAAAGGAGATTTTTGGGTAACAGTAACCTTTCTCCTCTGAACTAAAGGATTGCTGAGGCCCTGTGAAAAGGAGAGGAAAGGCAAAACTATCAGGGATGTGCATCTGGATGGATTGATGGAAGGCATCTTACATAATCAACTTGTCACTAAGCGTCAGGCTTAGTGATCTTGAAGGATGGCATCTTATCAGGAGCTCAAGTTAGCATCTTTTGCTGATAGGTCAGACACTGACCAACTGAAGATCTGGTTTAACTTTGGTAGGAAGAAGCCTTGTTACCAAGTTAGTCAGCGAGAAGTCTGTATTTCAGCCACTGTGGATTACTCTGTTCATAAGCTAACTGTCCAGTACTAGTTGAACATGGACAGAGCTGTGGATGATAACTTTTGACCAAGTCTTTGGTCCACTTGGTTTAATGTCTTTTCTGTATTGGGTGCAATGTACAATACGCAACATTTTATTGTTTCTGTGTTAGTAAGAACACCCACATTCCTCTTTCTTAGACTACTTTGTCCTTTGTCATCAGGTCTGGAAGATTTTTTTTTCCTTCTACCTGGTGACCATGTTGAGGGATTATAAAATTCTCTATACTTTTATATGTGGTATCTGGGATTTTCACAACAAAGACTTCTCTAAACCAATAGGGATGAGGCGTTTCAGAAAATAGGCATTCAAGAAAGAAAATTCTGGATATTGTGAAGGAGGTAGTGACCAAAAAGACCTGGAAAGTAAAATTACCAAGCCAAACAAAAGAAGTAAGATGGTAGAACAGGTATTAAGGTTGAGAAGGTTGCATAACTAATATAAAGTAGGGCAGTTCAGGAAACTAAGACCAGAAATCCAGATGACAGACACAAATTATGCCTTTAGATGTGCATTTCTCCTATTTGTGTTTATGTAAAAATACATTGTTGTTGATAAAATAGTTTACTCTATCCTCTTATGAAAATGAAGTTTTAAATTTTTCTTTCTGTATGATACCATTTGCCCCAGTGGTTTTCATCAGTAAGTAAAAATGGATTTAAAGCATATAGTTGGCAAGAGAATATATATATAAATATATATTTGTATATTTATCTATATACGTATACATATATATACACAAACATATATTTGGGGTGTGTGTGTGTGTGTGTGTGTGTGTGTGTGTGTGTGTGTGTGTTTGCCAATACTGCGGCTAGAACTTGGGGAATCTCATTATTGCTTAGCACTTTATTACTTGAACCACACCTCAACTTCTGGATTTTTCTGGTTACTTGGATATAAGAGTTTCTCACAGATTTTTTTGGCAGTCTTTGAACCTCGCTCCTCAGATACTATCCTCCTGAGTAGATAGGATTATAGGCGTGAACTGCCAGCACCCAGCTAAAGATTTTCATTTTCTTTTTGTACTTCTTTTGTTAACAATGGTAGCAGTGTTATGAATGCATGATATTTATTGGTAATATTGTTTAGTATGTGTAGCCTTTAGAATAGTTTCACCTGTGTTCAAATCTAACATTAATCATCTACCATTAATTATCTGTATATCTTGGGCCATTTTATCACCTCTGTATACTGTAATATTAAATATGTACATTCTCAATATTAAAATGGGAATACATATTAGCCATCTCAAGAGTTGTAATTAGGAACTAGGCTCTGATGTCTCATAGAAAAAAATGGAGTTGTAAATAGTATTAAATGAAGGGATCTATGGCATAATACTTAGTATAATGCATGGCATGTTGTTAAATGTTTTACAATTTTTTTACAAATATTTTACTTATTATTATTAAAAGTACATAGAGATTATGAAATTACAGAATGTTAAGTATGTAAGGTGTTCATTAGTGAAGAAGCTGATGGTCTTTATATAAGTATATATAAAAATTTACTTTTGATATTTTCAGGAATCTTTGAATGCATTACTTAAGCAGCTAGAAAAAGAGAAAAGGTATCTTGAAAATCAAGTGAAAGAATATGCACTTCGACTAGACCAAGAAACAAAGGTTTGTTTTTGCTTGGAAGCTAGTGTCATCTAAAAATTGCTGTAAAACAGGGAACATAATGTTAACTTAAACCTAGGAATTTTCTTACGTGGTGTTGCTAATCTTTTCTCATGTTGTATTCTTCACTTTTTTCTTTATTATCATAGTCTTACCACAGAACCAACAATGAACGCCGTGTATATGTAGCTGAAATGTCCCAGGTAACTTTTTTGCTTTCAAATTCTAAAGGTTCCTGTGTAAATTGTACTTTTCTTTTTTCTAGGTTTTGATTGTTTGCTACAAAAACATGTTGGCATTCTAAAGGATACCAATTTTCTTTTTCTTTTTTTTTATTGTGAACATACTGTACAGAGGGGTTACAATTACATGGGCAAGATAATGAGTACATTTCCTATCAAGCATTGAAGCCTCCTCCTTTGTTTACCCTTCACATCCCTTCCCAGCCTCCCCCCCCCCCCCCACCCAAACCCCCCCCCCCCCCACCAAAGTTGTAAAGTTCGTTTTCGACATGACAACTTGTACTTCTCATTGTTGCAACGGGTACACCTGAGATACCAATTTGCTAAATATGGGACATAGAAAGGAAAATAACTTTTGAGAAAAGATAAAAAGGAGATACGTTTTCCAATTAAGATATTATTTTGCTTATTTTCTTCCTTAATAATATAATCCATATAATTCAAACAGATGAGTTAATATAACTCTGCTGTTATGAAATTTCAGGCACTTAAATTTTATAGTTGTACATGGTCGAGTTTAATATGTATATAGCATTGTTGGTATAAAGTGTGTACTTATAAATACTGGATAAGGGAGGGATGAGTAGTTTTGTATGTGGTTTTCACAGTTTTTCATTTGTCTTTCAGGTTTTATATTGTTGGCATTATAGAACTTTTTAAAGTGTCGACAGATACCTTTTATTTCTGGTTCCTTCTAGTAAAAAAAATACCATCTTTATTTTGATATCTTTTAAATTTACCCTATTTTTTCATTACTTATATAGCTTAATATTGATATTTACATATTTAATCAATATTAACTTTGCTTTGGTATGTATTTTAAGATTAGGGTATGAGTTAGCTTTCAATTCATACTATACCACAGAAGTAGCCAAAGAGCAGTGGAATTGTTGAATCTCAGAGAACAATTTAAATATAAGGAAAATAGCATACAGATGGTAAGTGCAGTCACATGAATGAGTAAAATGCGTGAGGGAGAATAAGGTAAAAAGAAGAATTAGTTTGGAAGATAACTCTGGAGAGGCTCGACAATGATAGTCAAGGGAACAAAAAGTGGACTGCAGTCCTCAAAGCATAGCAAGTCACACAAGGAGCTCCAGAGGCTGAAAGACAACCTTCTCATAAGAGCAATCTGCTAGCCAGAGTATCTAAGAAAGGAACAATGGTGGAATTCCAAAAAGGCATTTTTCATGGGGATTCAGCCCCCAAAGAGAATATAAAAAAATTGAAAATAAAAGTTAATGCTACAGAGCGATATTTGAGTTCATGGTGTTGACAAGGTAAGCAGTCTGAGCTGCTAGTGTGGTCCTTTTCAGAAGTTTTGGCTCCTTCTGAGGTCAAAAAGAGTGCCTCATTTTTTCTATTTCTTTACCATTAGTACAAGAGTGGAAAAAAGTCAGTTTGAAACTATTTACTAAACGGAACAAGGATAGACCATGCAAAACCCATGTCATTAAGAAAATGGTGATCCATAATATACTATTGAAGTATAATATACTGTTGTTGTTGGTTGTATTTTTTTGTCATTGGTGGGATTTTGAACTCAGGGCCTGGGGACTGTCCCTGAGCTTTTCCAGTCAAGTCTAATGCTCTACCACTTTGAACCATAGCTCTACTTTTGGTTTTCCAGTGGTTAGTTGGAGATAAGAGTCTCACTTTCTGCCTAGCTGGTTTTGAACCACAGTCCTTAGATCTCAGCCTCCTGAGTTGCTAGGATTACAGTCGTGAGCTAGTGGCACCCAGCTGTTGAAGGTTTCATATATATATATATATATATATATATATATATATAAAGATTAAAAGTAAAAGCTCCTTTTCCCTGAAACATTCACTTACTCTTGTTTACCTGAAAAATTCATTTAGGTGGAATTATCCTACTCTGATTATATATAATCACAGAACAATCAAACCTTAACAGCTTCCTGGGAATATGTTAATTCTGTCCCCAGTATAAATGTTAACATTTTCTTGCTAGAGTGAATTTTGATAGTCTTTATAGTTAAAGATGGTTCTGGCTATGAGGAGAGTATAGTGACTAGAAAGGTTAATGGATGCTTGGCAGTTCTCCATGATGAATACATAAATAATTGATTCTTTAGTAGATAAGTTGAGCTATTTGCTGAGTCTGTTGATGATACTTCTGCTGTCTTTGTTGCTTTGTCTCACCACTCACTGTTTTCACTGAAATGGAGTGTCTTCATCTCATCATTCTCATTTGCACAACATGTATATCACAGAGATACTGTTTATTAAGAAAACACAGACATATTGAATTACTGAAAAAATTGGAGAGACTGACTAGACCTTGTTGCAATAGCCAATAAATTTAAGTTTTAGCTTCTGTTCCCATCAGCCTGGAATTTTAGGTCCATTTAGCAATGGATCTGAGAGAATTCTGAATGTAATGCTTTTGCTTTACAGATAAGAGACCTGAGGTGATTCTGTTTTAACCAGGCATTTCTAGATTTTTAAAAAATATTTTTACATTTTATTTATGTATCTGATCATTATTTATTTCTTGAGATGTGTTAGTCCGGCAGGACTCAGACTCTTGGGTTCAAGCAATCTTTCTCCTTCAGCCTCCTTGAGTAACTGGGGCTAAAGACATGTACTACCACACCTGGCTTTGCCAGACTGTTCAAATGATAATATTGAATTATATTTGTCATCACTGGTGAAACTATCTAGGTTCCAGACTACCCAAACTTTTATATTGTCACTTTGTCAACTCTATTTTATTGTTGCTCATTTAAACACATAGCTAGCCTGTTTGAAATCTAGTCCTTGAGATACATTCTCAAGAACACAACTATCCAAGTATTGTTTCCACTAAAATCACTTGCCTTTTCTGCCATCTCAGAGAAACTATGATACTGTTTCCTTTAGCAAAACACAAACAATGACGAAAGACCTTCTGGTTTGCATTGTCAAAGCATCACAGAAAAGCTTCTTGGTGAGATCCGATCTGCCAGGTCCTCTCCAGTGTGGTCATGCCTATCTCTGTAGCCTCCTCCTTGCAATGTACAGTTTGCACATGTCATGCTGCTTTTCTTCTGTTCCTTGTTATTGCTCCCTTGCCGTTCCTTCTACATAAGATATTCTTGCCATGGTTTGTAACTGGCTCTTGTTGCAGGTGGAGCCCCTTGTTGACTGAAACAGTTGCATGTCCTGAGTGCCAACTTGATCAAGGCCCTTTATTATCATCTTCTACTGATTTTGTTGTTTCCCCTGATAGAATGATAACTATCTTTGTACCCTGGTCCTGATTGTAATGGGAGCATAACATAACCTCTGAATGAAAGAAGATAAATAAATTGCATTTTCTGCTACAACAGTCAAACCTGTCATTCTTAGAAAATGGTCTGATATCTTAACAGAAGGAACAAAGAATCCATCAGACATTAAATCAGTTTTTCTCCTTATCATCCAATTTATTCACATATTTATCCATTATTCTTATCTTCAGATGGATTTCCTTCTTCCTTCCAAGGCTATCTGCTATTTGCTTTTTATTTTTAATTTCTCTCTTTTGCTGTAGTTTATCCTTTGCTTGGTTTATCCTTTGCTTAACACACTCAGTTCTTCCACCAAAATACACAAACCTTTACCTTTTTTGGTGGTGGGGGGGGGTCCGGTCATGGGGCCTGAACTCTGGGCCTGGTGTTGTCCCTCAGCTCTTCAGCTCAAGGCTAGTGCTCTACCACCTGAGCCACAGCGCCACTTCCCGATTTTTTTCTTTTTGCTTATGTGCTGCTGGGGAATCAAACCCAGGGCCTCATGCATGCAAGGCAAATGCTCTACCACTGAGCCACCTTCCCAGCCCCACAAACCTTTTCTTTTACTTCACTGTCTTCTTAAATTTACTATCTCAGATTTCTTTTTCCCAGCTAAACTTGATGAAAGAATGGATATTCATATCTTAGCTATTGTAAATAATGCTGCAATAAACATAGTTGTGCTGGTAGCTTTAGTGTGGTCTTGTTTGTAAACATCTGGGTAAATGCCCAAAAGTGGGATTGCTGGGTCATAGAGGAGCTCTATGTGAAGTCTTTTGAGGAACCTCCATACTGCTTTCCAAAGTGGTTGAACAAGTTTACATTCCCACCAACAATGAAGTAAGGTTCCCTTCTGTCCACATCCCCTCCAGCATCTGTTGTTGTTAGAGTTCTTGATTTTGCCATTCTAACTGGAGTGAGGTGGTATCTCAATGTTGTTTTGATTTGCATTTCTTTTATGGCTAGGGATGTTGAGCATTTCTTCATGTGTCTGTTGGCCATCCTTCTTTCTTCTTCAGAGAAGTTTCTCTTTAAGTCTTTAGCCCACTTATTTATTGGGCAGTTGTTTCTTTGAGGATTTGTTGTTGGGGGATTTAATTTTTTGAGTTCCAGATATATTTTAGATATGAGACCCTTGTCTGTCGTATGGCTAATGAAGATCTCCCAATATGTGGGCTTTCTATTGATCTTGCTAGCTATGTCCTTTGCCATGCAGAAGCTCTGCAACTTCATGCAATCCCATTTGTCCAACCTTTCTTTGATTTGTTGTGTTTCCGGGTCTCTATTCAGAAAATTTCGGCCTGAGCCAAGGAGACCTAGGGTTTCTCCTATTCCATCCTGTAATGTTTTCAGAGTGTCTGCTTTGACTTCCAGGTCTTTGATCCATTTGGAGTTGATTCTGGTGCAGGGTGATATATAAGGATCTAGCTTTAGTTTTCTACAAGTAGTTAACCATAGCTAAGATATGGAACCAGCCCAGATGCCCCTCAGTAGATGAATGGATCAAGAAAATGTGGTATATATACACAATGGAATTCTATGCCTCCATCAGAAAGAATGACATTGCCCCATTTGTTAGGAAATGGAAAAACTTGGAAAAAATTATATTAAGTGAAGTAAGCCAGGCCCAAAGAAACATAGGTCCCATGGTTTCCCTTATTTGCAATATCTAGTATATGTATGAGTCAAGCGGAAAAGGTCAGATAATGTGATGTTAGGAAAATGAATCCTTAGATATGTATTTTAATGTTTTTTCCTTTCATGCATTTGTTTCTAACGCATTTATAAGATTATCTCTTTGTTGCTTTGTATGTCCCTCCCCCACAGTATAACCCCTGCTTTCACTATATTTGATGTCAGTATAACTTGTAGAGGAGATGGGGAAAAACAAGTCGTTTAAGGATACAGGCGGACCTGTTGCAACAATAAGTACAAGTTGTCATGTCGAAAACGAGCTTTACAATGTTGGTGCGGGGGAGGGGGGGTGGAGAGGGGGGAAGCGGGGAGGATTGGGTGGGGGGGGTAGGGGGAGGCTGGGAAGGGATGTGAAGGGTAGGAGGCTGCAATGCTTGATAAGAAATGTACGCATTAACCTGCCCATGTAATTGTAACCCCTCTGTACAGTGTGTTCACAAAAAATAAAAAAAAAAAAGAATGGATATTCACTACCTTTGCCTTTCACTCCACACTGACCACTGGAGTGATCAGGTCCCTTCAGTTACATCTGGCTTTTTTGTGTGTGGGTGAGGCGTGGGGGGAGTAGTAGGGTGGTAATAGGGTCTTAAACTTGTTACAGGGCCTTAATCTTGTTACAAGGTAGGCAGATGCTCTACAACTTTGCTATGTCTTCAGCCTTTCTTATGTGCTTTTCCTGCCCAATGATTATTCTACTATCCCCTTGAAAGTTGCCTTTCTAGGTTTAGGTGATGGAATCTCTATGTCCCTGTGTTGCCTTTTATGATTGTTCTCATCGCTTCTGGCTTGAGTTGCCATTCCTAAATTGATTGCCATTGCTAGGTTGATTGGTCTGTTCCTGAATTGCAGCTTATACTTATACCATCCAAAACTGTGTCCATTTTTCCTTCTTGAATTTAACAACAAACAACAGTGAAAATACTATCTTCTCTTCCTATTTATGCCCTACCATACCTATTGTTTCTGTCGTCTTGTCAACTTTTTTTTTTTTTTTTGTCGGTCGTGGGGCTTGAACTCTGGGCCTGGGCGCTGTCCCTCAGCTCTTCAGCTCAAGGTGAGCGCTCTACCACTTGAGCTACAGCGCCACTTCCGATTTTCTGGTGGTTTATTGGAGATAGGAGTCTCACGGTCTTTCCTGCCCGGGCTGACTTTGAACTGAGATCCTCAGATCTCAGCCTCCTGAGTAGCTAGGATTACAGGCGTGAGCCACCAGCGCCCAGCGTCTTGTCAACTTTTATAGCAGAATATATACATGTTTTATGTGTGTTTAACGTCTACTAACAAAACTTCCAATGTTCTATATCACATGGATGACTTAATTGTCACAGGTAATTGCATATTTATTTTAAAAATCATATGGACTATGGAATTGAGCTAGTGAGAATTCCAGAATCTTTAGAAACTTTATCATATTGAAAAAGGCTATAATTTCTACAAAAGGGCCTAGTTACAGAAAAATTAACTGAAAATGTGGCTGTTTCTTTTATCTTCAAAGTCAATCATGAAATGAAATATCTGTTCTTTTTTTTCTATATTTCAGGTTGTTGGCTCTCATCAAATTTTTAAAAGGCAACAGATGGATCAACTGCCTAAAATGAAAGAGAATCTAGTAAAAACGTAAGTCTTGCTGTATCTTTTCTTTCTAATTAATTTCCCGTCTGTGAGTAGTACTGACAAAATAGGTATCTGTTATATTTTGAAAGTTGAACTTTGAGATTTTTAGCAACAATATAAAGTAGCAGATGGTAAGGGAACCTACAGAAGTTCTTTATCTCCAGTCACTATACATACTTTTTTAGTAACATCTTACTTTGTTTAAAAACTAAAACAATGCAGTACCCAAGAAGAGATTAAGCAATACCAGTAAATTACAATTTAAATGTAAAGATATAATTGAAGTGTCAGCTTTAAACTTTTTAGTTAGGAAATTTATTTATGCCAGTACACAGGAAATAAATGTAGGTAACAGTATAGTTTATTGTTTCCTGTATAAATAAAACCAATTTATGATTTAAAAAAATTGTGTGTGGCTTTATAGCCACACACAATTTTCCCTGGTTCTATGCTAAGTAGAGAATTACCAAATCAGTTCTTATGTAATATTTATTATAGGGAAATATTTATATATAAAAAACTAGAAAATTAAACCAAGATATATTAGTTACAAAGCAACTCTTTTCAAATACAGCTCAAAGCAAGAGGCAATAAAGGGATATGCAATGTAACAATTTTCTTTTGTGAAAATGATGTAGCAATATTTTGCCAATGTATAGCTGGATGGATCAAGATGTTTGCTTGATAAATGATTCAAATTATAAATGATTCAAATTACAGTTATCTCAATACACTTTTATCTTTGGAAATATAGTGTAGTTTAAATATTAAAGCACATCCTGATAAAGGATGTCCTTGAAAAACTATTAAGCCAGTGTGTCAGAGATCCTCAAGATCCCCCCTATGATCAGTGATTCACTACAAGGCTGAAATTTATTACAGAGAAAGGATACAAAGCAAAATCAGCAAGGAAAAGGACCATGGGAAGAGATCTGAGAAAACAGGACGCAAGCTCCAGCACATTCTTTGGCTAGAGTTCCATAGACTATACTTAATTCGTTTAGCAATGAGCTGTGGCAGCATGTGTGAGCTGCTCTGAGAACTCATTAAATGCTTAGCACCTAATCAGGAGTAGATTCTCTACCTAAATTTCTCACTCAGCTGGCACTATACCACTTGAGCCATATTAGTGGCCAAGCTTTTTGCTGATTAGTTGGAGATGCAGTCTTACAAACTTTTTTGCCCAGGCTGCCTTTGAACCATGATCCTCAGATCTCAGCCTTTTGAGTAGCTAGGATTTATAGATGTGAGACATTGGTGAATGGCCCAACTACACATTTTGAGATTGATGATTCCAGGTGTCATCAAGATCATGCAGGAGTAGGGGGCTCTGATTAGAGTATAAAATTACATTTTGGAGTAGTGCTCATTATTAATTTTTATATTTAGCTGATAATATACCTGCTCAATGACTCCACATTTCTACTAGTTATATCCCAAATAGATTGTTACATACACAGGACCTACATAACAATGCTTATTTGTAATGGCCAAAGCTGAAAACAATTAAATATTGGTCACTACAAGATTGGATCATTTTATGTCTCTGTATGTGTGTATATATGTGTTTGTAGTATATATATATATATGTATATATATAGAGAGAGATCTATTATAACAGTTTTAAAAACTACAGCATTTGAGTAATTATCATATTCTTCAGTGTCAGAGGTAAAAAATATAAGTATATAATTACATTTACATAACATTCAATGAAAGGCAAAACTTAACCATAGTATTAGAAATCAGGATATGGAAAGGCCAAAGGTACTAATAAATGGGAAGGATATGGGGCATCTTTCTTTATGATGACAGTACTGTAGTACTTTATCTTGGCAGCAGTTATACTTCATTTTATTGTACTTCATGGAGCTTTAAGTTTACATTTTACACTATATATTATCATACTTTAAGCAATGTTTTAAAATTGTCAGTGGTTTTTAACCTTTGCTTGGGTTGATAGGCTTATATGTGCTTATATATGCTTATGCTCTTCAACTTTCATCTGTAATAAAATACCTGTGGTAATTAACTGATAAAGAGAAAAGGCTTACTTTGCTTTGCAGTTTTGGAGGTTCCTCTGTCTCTGATCTGTTGCCTTCATTGTTTTGGGCCTGCCAGGTGGCTCATAATGACAGAAGCACATGGCAGAGAAAAACTGTGTACATCAAAAAAAAGATAGGAAACAAAAGCAAAGAACAAGCTGGAATTCCACTGTCTCCTTCATCAAGGATGTCTGTGATCTAAGGACCTTCTTCCCCTTGGTCATGCCTCCTAAAGATTTCATGCAATAGCACTACTCTGGAGACCAAGACTTTTATTGTTTGCAGTTGTGGGGCTTGAACTCTGGGCCTGGACACCATCCCTGAGCTCAGCTCAAGGCTAGCACTCTACTGCTTGAGCCACAATGACATTTCTGCTTTTGTGGTAGTTTATTGGAGATAAACTGCCTGGGCTGGCTTTGAACCATGATCCTCAAATCTCAGCCTCCTGAGTAGCTAGGGTTACAGGTGTGAGCCACTGGTGCTAAGCCTGGAGACCAAGACTTTAATAAACCAAATTTTAGCAGTCATAATGTTAAAATATTGAGTCTGATGTTCAGAATAAATACCTAATGTTTAGAAAATACCCAATTAATAGGAAATTCTATTTTTAAAAATCTATCAAAGTGGGATAGTGTTTGGCTGAATATCATCCATTATATTCCTGTTTTGTGAACTCATGACCACACTTTGCCTCTGAAAAATTTATTACAGCAATCTTTACACATATTGAGTTGAAAAACAGACTTGTTAAGATACATAGGGAAAATAAATTATAAAATTAAGTTGGGAAATATCCAAAAAAATTGACAAAAGCTAATAGGTAACTTGATTGACTGACCAAAGCACCTATTTAACTGAAAACTACATTCCTGCAAGCAAGGAACTCAAGGCTAATTATCCCAGCAGTGATTCTTAAAAGTAGCAAAACGTAAAGTTCACTTTCCCCCTTTGTGTGCAACTTTGCTTTTTTTGCCTATGAAAATTTTATAGAATGAATAAAAACTCTACAGTAAGAAAATAACAAAGCAGTCCTTGGTGCCTTGGAATAAGATGACTTGTGGGAAATTTGTTTTAGCACTCATTAAGAGTCAGATTAGTTTGAAAATCTCCTTTAAATTAAAAAGTTAAAAAACCTTCTAGAGTAGAGAAAATACAATCAACTTACCCAACATTAGGACAATAGCTCAATAAAATGCAGTGATACTATAAAGTTAGAAAAATTAGATTCTCAAAGAATACATACTTGACATGGAAAAATACCTATACCCGTAAGTAAAAATAATATGAAATAGTATAGTGGATAATGGACAGTTTGTATTTATTTCTTCTTGTTATTTTCTAAAATAATCTGTACTTTATAATTATTTTAAATTATAATAAAAAAGAAATAAAATCCATCCATTTAGATACCTTGTAAAAGTCCTTAAGTCAAACTAACAAAATGAATATTTGTGTAATAAGTTCAATTCAGTATTTTAAAAAGTAGTGAGAATTGAGGTGGTAAATAAAAATTTTCACTGGCTTTCGAGCAGACAAATCAATTTTTGGCTTCATCAATTATTATTTAATGTGACAATATAAGTAGCCATTCTCAGACTCACCAAGCTTGGGACAGTTTCAGCAATTATTCTTCAAAGATACTTTTGGTCTTTTTGTCATTTCTCTCTCCTTCTAAGATGCTCATTAGATATACATTAGTATACATAATCGTGTCTCATGGGTCTCTGAAGCGTTCTCTCTCTCTCTCTCTTGCTCTCGCTCTCGTTCTCTTTCTCTCCCCCTGGTCTTTATTATCAGTTGTTCAGACTGAATAATTTTCATTGATGTATTTTCAACTTCATTTATTCTTCTGTCCTAATCTGCTGTTAAGCTCTTTTACTGAATTTTTCATTGAGTTTTTTTTTATTTTCCAAATTCAGCAGGGCTTTAAAAATAATTATTATCATTTTTGTAACATAATAGGTAAAGAAGGGTTGAACATTCTTTCAAGCGTCATTCAGAGGCTTGAATTTTCATTGAAATGTCTGATTACCTGAAATGTCCATTTACAAAGCTGCTCTTACTTGACCTAGTTTGGAGATGACCTAATGTGAAAAGCTTTTTTTCCCTCTATTTTTCTATGTGCTAGAAAAATTAGAAGAGGGAAAGAGCTGATGTTCATGACCAACTCTAGGGCAATTAAACATAGCTCAGTGCTCTGGCCACCTTTCCATTACACACACACACACACACACACACACACACACACACACACATTCTCTCTCTGTGTCTCTCTCTTTGTCTCTCTCTCTCCCTCCCTCTCTCTCTCTCTCTCTCTCTCTCCTTTTCTGTCTGTCTGTCTGTCTGTCTATCTATCTATCTGATCAATTCATCCTCCAGGATTGCTTAAGAGTTTAAAGAATGTTACTTCTGGAGCTGGGAACGTGGCTTACTGGTAGAGTGTTTGCTTAGCATGCATGAAGTCCTGGGTTCGATTTCTCAGTGTCACATAAACAAAAAAAAAAAAAAAAAAACCAGAAGGGGTGCTGTGGCTTAAATGGTAGAGTGCTAGCCTTGAGCAATAGGAAATCAGGGCAACAAGATTGCCTGAGCCTAGGAGTTGAAG